TTATGTTTATTTTTAGCATCATAGTATGTATTTATATGGAGCACTAATGAATGAAATTATCACTTCCCCCACTTTCTTATTTCTCTCTCAATAAGTACATCAACAGGCTTGCTTCGTGTGGTCGCTTTGGCAGCCCCCATCAGAGAGTAAGTTTGAAGTGCCGAGCGAGTATGCGGATGTCCTACTAGAAGGTCTTAAACGAATGGCGAGTATTAGGAAGGTCATTGGATGGGTGCCACAGGTGGAGCCGTGGAGATATTAGCCCACCCAGCCATGGGAAGATTTCTATCGCATTGTGGTTGGAACTTGACGCTGGAGAGCGTGTGGCGAGGCGTGCCAATGTTGACCTTTGAAATGGTGTTGAAAGTTGATGGAAGAGGGTGGTGAGATAAGGAAGAAAGTGAACGAGAAAAGTGAAGAAAGTAAGAGAAGTGTAATGGAAGGTGGATCTTCCTTTGTCTCGCTGGGCCATTTTATAGATGACGTTTTGGAAAACTCAAATTTGCAAGTAGTAGGAGACTCATGTACTTAAAACAAGGAAAGAAAAGAAAAGAAAGTTGTTACGTAGGGGAGGACCCAGACTCATTTAGTTGTCAAGAGTGGTATAGTAACGATCCAATCTTTTTCGGGACTTAACCTGCTTAGGGATGTTTAAAAACTTTATTCGAAATCCGTAGAAATTTTCATAAAATATAATGATAAAATAAATAACTTTTAACAAATAACTGAATAATGAAAATAAATGTGGCAGCAAAATTCATGGCACAACCAGCAAGAAACGTTCTCGTCACTTACCCCGTAAAAATACTCAATTTGTAGCCTTGCTAACAGAGTCCGACATGCATACACATGGGACCTCACTTTTTATTAGTCAAATTCTTTTCCTTTACATTTTTTGCCAACTCTATTTTTGGTGTATAAGTGAGTTTCCTGAAAGACTCTATCCTAACTGATAATAGTCGGTACCTAATCAACAGAGCCTAGTCTCACCTGACAAAAATCTTCTGTCTCAATCTCAGTATAATTTAAAATGAGGATAATTGTCACAAACTTTCGAAAAACCTTTCTCGACTCAATCTACAACAATTCTTGGCTCGACCTAAAACAATTTCCTAGAAACAAACAAACATCCCTATTTCCTAGAAATAAACAAACAAAAACTCTTACGTTTGACTAAATCTACATTCCTATTTTCTCATTTTCCTCTTTCTTTTCTTTTGATAATTGAAAAGATAATGTCCATTGACTTCTCTTAGGCTTATCCCTTCAAAGCCATTCATTTTTTGGCCTGCCTCTTCATTTCTGTGCTTCATCTTCATAGTGTAGCCTCTCTTCTTCTTCTTCTTCTTTGCTTTTTCTGTGCACCAAAATGAAGAAGTTCGAGCTGGTCTTCATACCCATGCCGGGGATGGGCCACCTGGTATCCACTGTTGAGATGGCCAACATTCTCCTCACTCGTAATCCTCGTCTCGCCATCACACTACTCGCCATTAAAAGCCCCTTCGATTCCAAAGCTTCTCACTACATCCAATCACTCTCTGCTTCCGTTTCCACCAATTCTCTACGTTTTATTGTCCTTCCTGAACCACCCCCTCGACAAGAACAGAGTGAAGATTTTGTGCTGAAGGAAGCACTTGTAAGCTACAAGCTGCAGGTCAGAGAAGCTGTCGCCAAGCTCACTGAATCTTCTCAGACCCAGCTTGTTGGATTCGTCTTGGACATGTTCTGTATGGCCATGATTGATGTGGCTAAGGAATTTGAGGTTCCTTGTTATGCTTTTTACACTTCTGGGGCGGGCTATCTTGATTTCAGCTTGCATCTTCAAGAGCTTTACAGTCAGAACAACAGCAATGAGGTGGTGCAACAGTTGCAGAATTCTGATGTTGAGTTGGGTTTGTTGAGCTTTGTGAATCCAGTTCCTAGTAAACTCATTCCTGGTATCTTTTCATTTGAGAAGGCTGCCGTTTGGCTTCATGAACAGGCCAAGAGACTTAGATCAGAGATCAAAGGCGTTCTTGTCAATACATTTGTGGAGATGGAACCACATGTGCTCAACTCCATGTCGAGTCGCTCCGCGTCGCAACCGATCCCGCTGTTGTATCCTGTTGGACCTATTCTACAGTTGAAAAAAGTTGATTCTGATGGATCAAGTGCGGATGTATTGAAGTGGCTCGATGATCAACCTCGGTCCTCGGTCGTCTTCCTCTGCTTTGGGAGCAGGGGAAGTTTTGGGAAGGATCAGGTGGAGGAGATTGCACTCGCGCTGGAGCGGAGCGGGCTTCGCTTTGTGTGGTCCCTTCGACGACCCCCACCGGAGGGTACGATCGAGGCGCCAAGCGACTACGCTACCTTTGAAGATGTGCTGCCGAAGGGGTTTCTCGACCGAACGTCAGAGGTTGGGAGGGTCATCGGTTGGGCACCGCAGGTGGAGATATTGGCCCACCCGGCCACAGGAGGATTCGTGTCGCATTGTGGTTGGAACTCGACGCTGGAGAGTATGTGGTACGGCGTGCCAATGGCGACATGGCCAATGTATGCAGAGCAAATGTTCAATGCCTTTGAACTGGTGGTGGAATTGGGATTGGCAGTGGAGATCACAATTGATTATCATAATGATTTTTGCAAAGAGAAGGCCAGAATTGTGAGCGCAGAGGAGATTGAGAGTGGAATAAAGAGATTGATGGATGAAGATAATGAGATTAGGAAGAAAGTAAAAGCAAAAAGTGAAGAATGTAGGAAAGCCATATTGGAAGGTGGATCCTCCTTCGTCTCGTTGGGACATTTTATAGATGATGTTTTGGCCAACTCTCCAAGAGGAGAGTAAATGAGGGAAGAAATTAGATTACAATACAAATAGAAAAGGAGAATTTGGAGATTTGGGTTACTTTATCTCAATGATGATATGTAGCGTATCGATCTTTAGATTTTTAACTATTATGCTTCAATCTTTAAACATTTTGTTTTCTATATATAAGCTACTATCAGGTTTACTCAAACACCTTGAATTTAGACATTGTTTACTTACCAAGAATCAGAATGAAAATGAATCGAAAAAAGAAATTCATTTATATATATATGTATATGTATATAAACACTATTATTAGGTTTACTCAAATACCTTAAATTTAGGCATTATTTACTTACCAAGAATCAGAATGAAAATTAGTAGTATACACCTTATTTCTAACTAATTACAAATACACAATTGTGCTTATCTTTCCTTAATTAAAATAATAATAAACTTTAAAATTTTTATTACAATATTATTTATACTAAATATTTTTTTACTACAACAACTTATTTAATATTAACAAATAATGAATAATCTAAATAAAATTTCATCAACTAAAATATTTTTTATTACAACAATCATCATTTAATATAAAATATCATTAAGTTTTATTTATTCTAATATTTAATAATAATGAATTATATTTAAAAAAATTATTGATATTAATTAATAAGAACAAAGTAAAATTAAAAAAAATTAAAATTATTTTATAATAAAATCACATCAAATAATAAAAGTTGTATAAATTTTTATTAAAAAAATAATTAGTAGTATAAATGAAAAATAAATAATAAAAATATAAAACAACTAATTAAAAAAATTATGGGTCTAATCAAAAGGATAAAAATAATAAAGTAATTACAATAAATATATGAGATTCACGGCATAAGGAATAAAAATGAGATTGAGGGGAGTAGGAGAATTATAAAGTTATTCTTTCTTACACTTTGGTAAAAAGTACGAAAGAGAATGAAATCATTGATTTCCATTTGCTTCTCATTCAGTAAATATGGCCTGAAAAATAAAATTGTATTTTTTTTCTTTTTGGAAGAAAAGATAATTTCCACATTTCAAATGATGTGTCTTATATATGGTCCAAATTAAGTCCCATATTCATATCTTACGGTCTCCATTTGCCCTCTTACCACCACCACAAGCTCTCTATAATGCAACTTTCTCTCTACCGACAGAGCAAAGCAAATAAAACTCCATCCATCGGACCTTCTTTCTACAAGAAATGAACAAGTTTGAGCTTGTTTTCGTGCCCGCATCGGCGCTCGGTCACCTCGACCCCATGGTTAAGATGGCCAACAGTCTCCTCGCTCGAGACCACCGTCTCTCCATCACCATACTCATCTACAAGCTACCTTGGGATACCGAAATGGCACACTATATCCAGTCATTTTCTGCTTCGTTTGCTGGTAAATCTATACGCTTCATCGTCCTCCCCGAACCCCCCATGGCCTCCTCCAAGACACTAAAAGAAGCTTTTTGTTAAACATACTCCACTTCATCGAAAGCTACAAGTCCATTGTCAGAGAAGCTGTGGCCAAACTCGGCAACTCTAGCACAGCTCAACTGGTTGGATTCGTGGTAGACATGTTCTGCTCTATCATGATGGACGTGGCTGAAGAATTTGGGGTTCCTTGTTATGCGTTTTGCACATCCAGTGCTGCCTCTCTTGCTATGAGTTTTGATGTTCAAGAGCTTTACAATCGGGATAGCAATAGCGACAAGGCGGCAGAACAATTGGTGGAACGGTTGCACAAGTACTCGAATGTTGAGTTGGTTGTGCCCAGCTTTGTCAATCCAATTCCTAGTAAGGTTGTTCCTCGTTCTTTTTCGGATTATGAAATTGCAGTTTGGTTTTTTAAGAATTTTGAAAGGCTTAGATCAAACATTAAAGGGATTCTGGTCAATATGTTTGTTGAGATGGAACCACATGTGATGAACTGGTCGTCAAGAACTGACGTTGGGCCCATTTTGCAGTTGAAAAACATTGGTACTCTCGATCGTGTAGATGGCGTATTGAAGTAGCTAGACAACCAGCATGTATCATCTGTGGTGTTGTTGTGCTTTGGGAGCATGGGAAGCTTTGATAAGATTCAAGTGGGGGAGATTGCACATGCTTTGGAGCGGGGTGGAGTTCGCTTCGTGTGGTCCCTTCGACGGCCCCCATCGAAGGGTAAGTTTGAATTGCAGAGCAACTACGACGACATCGAAGATGTCCTACCAGAGGGATTTATAGACCGAACGGCAAGTATTGGGAAGGTCATTGGTTGGGCACCGCAAGTGGAGATATTAGCCCACCCAGCCATGGGGGGATTTCTATCGCATTGTGGTTGGAACTCGACATTGGAGAGTCTGTGGCACGGCGTGCCAATAGCGACGTGGCCAATATCAGCCGAGCAACAACTCAACGCCTTTGAAATGGTGGTGGAATTGGGGTTGGCAGTAGAGATCGCAATGGATTATCAAATAGAGGACCAGAGAATAGTAAGTGCGAAGGAAATAGAGAATGGGATTAGAAAATTGATGGAAGGCAGCAAGGAGCTAACGAAGAAAGTGAAAGCAAAAAGTGAAGAAAGTAGGAAAAGTGTAATGGAAGGTGGATCTTCCTTCATCTCGTTGGGCCATTTTATAGACAACGTTTTAGCTAATTCCACGAGAGGAGAGTAAATTATGTAGCTTCGTGTACTTAAAATGAGAGAAACTCATTTCGCTATTAACAAAGTTTTGTTATTCTATTAGTTAACATTTTCATTTCTTTGTTTTTCGTTTTTTGAAAAATGTAAATGTTTGACCTCTATTATTATTTTTTATTTTTTGTTTTTTAAAAATATTTTCAAAAATTGTATAGAAATTTTGGAAGCAACAAAATKAAGTTTCTGATTTTTTTTATTCTCGTTTCTAGTTTTTCCCAGAACATAAATACAAATATTTTTTTGCCATTCTTATTATTTTTAAAGTGCATAAAAATATTAAAACATAAATGTTACAACAAATTTTGGATACTTAATTTAAAAATTAATTCTCATATACAAAATTTACTTTTCCTTTAATATGTTTCAGAGAACAAGAAATAAGAAATTATCATCAAACATCTTTCTATATATAAGAAAAACGGTAATATTTTTATTCTTTTAGAAATAGATAATATTTATCTCCTTATCAGAGAGAAATCTAGATATTATCACCATTAAATATTTGACATGAATTCTTTTATAATAATTAATGAATTATGAATTTTTTAATAACAAAAAATGAGGTATCATCTCCAAGGTTTTAAATGTCAATGTCGATAGTAATATCAAGGTCTCAATTTCATGAAATATCGATAAAATGTCAATATCGATGAATATTTTTATTTAAAAAAATTAAATTAACAAATAAACATTTTTCCTAGTTAAAAATAATTAAAATTAATATGGTGTATATAGTAGTGATACTTTGTTGATATTTTTCATATTTTGTCTATTTTCTTGTACTATGATATAAATGTCGATTTATCATTCGTATCGACGTCTAACCCATAGAAACATGAATATGTCAAGGGAAATGTCGATACGTTAAATATTTAGAACCATTATGAACTCACGGGAGTCTCATCTTATCTTCTTTGTAGGTCCATTCAAGCCACTAATCCTTGGGTTTCATTTTGTACCAATGGCCACAAGTTGGAGTTATTAATCTTCTGCATCTTCATCAGCTTCATCATCTTCTTCTTCACCTCTCTGATCCCTTATTCTCTGCAACTCCGGCAGAAAATGGACAAATTCGAGCTAATTTTCATACCGGCGCCGGGGATGGGCCACATCGCCTCCACCGTCGAAATGGCCAACACTCTCGTCACACGAGACCGCCGTTTCTCGGCCACAATCCTCGCCATGAAGCTCCCCTACGACCAAAAAGTCGCCGAATCCATTCACTCACTTTCCACTTCTTTCGCCGACAAACCCATCCAATTCCTCGTCCTCCCCGAACCGCCCCTCCCACAACATTCTAAAAACGACTTCATTCTACTCGTCGAAAGCTACAAGCCTTTCGTCGCCGACGCCGTCGCAAAACTCGCCGACGCCTCGCCCCGCCTCGCCGGACTCGTCGTAGACATGTTCTGCACCACCATGATTGATGTGGCTAAAGAATTTGGGATCCCTTGTTATGTGTTCTTCACATGCAGCGCTGGGTTTCTTGCTTTCAGTTTTTATCTTCAGGAGCTGTACAGTAGTAGTGGGAATGGCAGCAATGAGGCTGTGGAAAAGTTGTTGAATTCTGATGCTGAGTTGGGTTTGCCTTGTTTTGTCAACCCGGTTGTTCCTAGTAGAGTCATTCCCAGTATCTTTTTCGATGAAAATAAGGCTGTTTGGTTTCATAATCATGTTCGAAGATTTAGATCCGAAGTCAAAGGGATTTTGGTTAATACATTTGTGGAGATGGAATCGCGTGTGATGGAGTCCATGTTGAGTGGCTCATTCTCCCAAGTCCCGCCGTTGTATTGCGTTGGACCCATTTTGCACTTCAAAGAAGACACTGATGGTGTTGGATCGGATGTGTTGAAGTGGCTCGATGATCAGCCTCTGTCGTCTGTGGTGTTTGTGTGCTTTGGGACCATGGTGAGCTTTGATGAGAATCAGATGGAGGCCATCGCGCATGGGCTTGAGCAAAGCGGGGTTCGCTTCGTGTGGTCCATTCGACAGCCCCCGCCCAAGGGTAAGTTTGAAGCACCGTGCAACTATGCCGACGTCAAAGATGTGTTGTCAGAGGGGTTTCTCGACCGAACGGCAGGTATATTGCTGAGATATATTGACAACTCTGTCTGAAATGTTGCGATTTTTCATTTGGTATCGAAGCTAAAAAAGAACGTTCAAACGAGCATCTGGTATAAAAATATTATATGACTAAGATTAGTGAGCTGAAGAGAACTACAATCTTAAGAATAACATGTTAAGGATCCCACAGAGGGGTGGTGGAGGAAGCAATCAATAACCAATGTCTCACTTTCTATCAAAACTCTAATACAACTAATTGATTAGGAGAGAAGTAGTCCAGGTATCTTATAAACTTTATTGGTCCTCTATTGATGTGTGTGAGATCCTTGACAGGTATTGGGAGGATTATCGGTTGGACGACACAAGTGGAGATATTGGGTCATCCAGCCATTGGAGGATTCGTATCACATTGTGGTTGGAACTCGGTGCTAGAGAGTTTGTGGCACGGTGTGCCAATGGCGACATGGCCAATGCACGCCGAGCAACAATTGAACGCCTTTGAGATGGTGGTGGAATTGGGATTGGCAGTGGAGATCACGTTAGATTATCGAATGAGTTTTAGCGAAGAGAAAGCAAGAATAGTGAGTGCAGAGGAGATAGAGAGTGGAATCAGAAAATTGATGGGAGAAGAGAGCGATGAGATGAGGAAGAAAGTGAGAGCAAAAAGTGAAGAAAGTAGGAGATGCATAGCGGAAGGTGGATCCTCCTTCGTTTCGTTGGGTCATTTTATGGATAACGTTTTGGCCAACTTGACGGGAGGAGAAGACTAAAAAATGTAGAGTTTCATGTGCTTAAAACTAGGTAAGTCGTTTCATTAATTTTGTTGTAAAGATCCCTCGTCTAGTTTAGTCTCTACTAAAAGTAGTAGACTTTACATATAGCTAGTGTGTCTAATACATCATCGGGTGAGGGATTCAATTTCATGATCTATTGGTCATAGACATGTATTAATTACCGTTGAACTAAGCTCATGTGACCATTAGTGTGTCCATATTGGTAAAGAGAAAGACTACAAAAAGGAGGATTCGGAGATTTAGCAAAGTTTTTAATTGTTATATGAACATGATTGGAATAAAAGAAATATATACCAGCTGTGAATGTATTTGATTGCTTTATGTGTCAATCATGGGCTGAGCTCACCAGCTGATCGAGAGAGAGTGAGAAAGAAATAGCAATTGGAGGTATCAAAGGCTACTAACTCTCTTTATATAGAAGAGTTTATGTACAAAGAAAAGAGTAATACATCAGTAACGTAAATGATAAAGCAAATTATTTCCAACTAATCACATTTAGTTGTTACAATTAGCCCAGCTAATATAAAAGAATAAAACTGAAAACATCCCACTCAGTGAGCTACCTTAACATTCCCCCTCAAACCCATGGCAGTAGAATGAAAGACATTAAGCTTGGAACAGATTGGAAGAAAGGACTTAGCAGACAAAGGTTCAAAACTTGTTTAGCAGAGGAAGATGAAAAATAGCAAATTGATAGACAAGTGAACAGCTCCCAAGTTATCCCATTTGAATTAACGAACAAGATCAAAAGAAAGTCGAAAAGTTATATCAGAGGGTGGATCTTCCTTCATCTCATTGAGTCGGTCCTAGTTTCATATATTTAAAGTAAAACTAGATATTCCAAGAAGCCATTTTGTTTCATATTGGCTTACAAATTATTGAAATGTAAGTTGGTTCTTCCTAATGCATTATCGTTTCACTAAAAAAAATCCATCTGTTATACATATACAAATAAAGGTCTATATAGTAAAAGATTTTCTAAATGGTTCATACCTTTTGAGTATAATCAATGATCAAACTAACCCCACTGCCTCAATTTCAAAATTAAATATAATATAATTATTGTATAATTTGCAACCTTTTTGAAGAAGAAATCAAAAGAATTAGCTGTATAGTGGGACAAATCAAAAAGCTTAATGGCCTTTGTTGCCTTTTGTTTTGTCTTCTCGTATCTTCAAAAACATATACGATTTATATACTTTTTAAATATACTTTTTGGTTTACTTTTAACTCTTAGTTTCTGTCCTATTAAAATGTCTATTTTAATTTTATATTTAATTTATATATTTTAATCCCTGTAATTTTAAAAAATAATTATTTTTATTTTTATTTACAAAATTTTGATACAAATTTAATATACACAGGAAACCTTTTAATAAAAATTTTAATAATTAAAATAAATGAGATCAAAATAATCACTTTTTTAAAATATAAATAAAATAATACTTCAAAGCTATAAATACTAAAATAAATAAAAGTTAAAAATAAAAGGACGAAAATAAATAGTGCAAATAAAACTAGAAGTAGATATACTAAAATATATTTAAATTTTAAAATATAGATAAAAGTTCCCACCTAGGGTAATAAATAATAATGACAGGAGACATCAATTGCTAAATCCCACATTTTAAAATGAAATCTGCTCGATACTTTAATGTCAATGATATCAAAAAGTTATATATACCAAATATTTCATCGTAGGTAGCAAAGTCTAGCTTTTCATCAATTCCAAAAAGGAGAAAAGAAAAGTTTTTCTTTTGTCCGCTTGGGTAACTGCAAAGTTTGGCAAGTTGGGAGACTAATATTATTTTGTACAGCAAAGGCATGACGTCACTACTACTACTTCTTCTTCTTCTCCTTCTTCCTCCCCAAGCAATAAAAATGGTTATATAACCAAGCTCCATAAGACTGCTACCTCAGCTCCACTCCAAGCAACAGCAAAAATGAAGAAATTTGAGTTGGTTTTCATACCCGGCCCAGGGATGGGCCACCTGGCATCCACGGTGGAGATGGCAAATGTTATTGTCGCCCGAGACCACCGTCTCTCCGTCACAGTCCTCACCATCAACCCCTCCTCCGATCCCAAAATAGCTCAACAAATTCAGTCCTTTTCTGCATCTTTTGCTGCCAAATCCATCCGCTTCATTGCCCTTCCTGAACCGCCCCTTCCAGAAGAGACTAAAAATGGCTTCAGGCTTAAACAAGTCCTCCAAAGTTACAAGCCTCATGTGAGGGAAGCTGTGACCAACCTCACCAACACCCCTGAATCACCCCCACTTGTGGGATTCGTCATAGACATGTTCTGCACTGCCATGATTGATGTGGCTAAGGAATTTGAGGTTCCTTGTTATGTGTTTTACACGTCCAGTGCTAGCTTTCTTGCTCTTAGTTTTCATCTTCAACAACTTTACCATCAAAATGACAGCAGCAACCACGCGGTGGAACACTTGAAGGATTCGAATGATGAATTAGCTGTGCCAGGATTTGTGAATTCGATTCCTGGGAAAGTAATCCCCAGTGTCTTTTTTGAGAGCGAAATTGCTGCTTGGTTTCATGATAATGCTAGAAGATTTAGATCGGAAGTCAAAGGGATTTTGATCAATACATTTGCGGAGATGGAACCACATGTCATGAATGGCTCCTCGCAAATTCCACCTCTGTATTCTGTTGGACCTGTTTTGCACTTGAGAGATACTAGCGCTGATGGATCCAATAAAGTTCATGATGCTGCAGATACACTAAAGTGGCTTGATGATCAGCCCCCATCGTCAGTTGTGTTCCTGTGCTTTGGAAGCATGGGAAGCTTTGACCAGGATCAGGTGGAGGAGATTGCTCGAGCTCTCGAGCAGAGTGGAGTTCGGTTCTTGTGGTCGCTCAGGCGGCCGCCGCCAAAGGGGAAGTTGGAAGCGCCGAGCGATTATGCTGACATCAAAGATGTTCTACCAGAGGGATTTCTGGATAGAACGGCAGATGTTGGAAGGGTGATCGGGTGGGCGCCGCAGGTGGAGATCTTGGCGCACCCAGCTACTGGAGGATTTGTATCGCATTGTGGTTGGAACTCAACGCTGGAGAGTGTGTGGCATGGCGTGCCAATGGCAACATGGCCAATGTATGCTGAGCAGCAATTTAACGCCTATGAACTGGTGGTGGAATTGGGATTGGCGGTGGAGATAACGGTAGATTTTCGAAAAGAATTTCGTGGGGAGAGGTCAAGAATTGTCAGTGCCGAAGAGATAGAGAGTGGGATTAGAAGATTGATGGAAGACAACAATGAGATCAAAGAAAAAGTCAAAGCAAAGAGTGAAGAGAGTAGAAAAAGTGTGCTGGAGGGTGGATCCTCCTTCGTTTCGTTGGGTCATTTCATAGACGACGTTATAGCCAATTCGCTAGGAGGAAGAGATTAAGAGTTTGTTTGGTAATGTTTCTATTTGCTCATTTTTAATAATAATAATAATAAAATAAAATAATTGAATGATCCCAACACCTATAGATTCGAAAATAATAAAACAAGATTTTTATTTATGTTGAAACAAAATGAAACAAGAAACAAGAAACATGTTGTTTCCAAGATTTCGAAACGAGAACATCTCAAAGAAAAATGAGAAACAAGAAATGCAAGCAATTTTCAGATACTTAGATTCTTTAATAAAAATTGGAAACTAGAAACAAAAAATGGAAAGATTACCAAACTCGCCGAACAACTTAGTTCCATGTCCTCAAGACTCGGAAACCACTTCATCATGTTGCCTTTCTTCTAATGTACTATTTCCTTTGAGTTCCAGTAGAACCATACCAAACATGTGTGGCAACTTGAGAAATCAAATGGGAATGAGTTGAGTCACTGATCTTTCTTTATACAAATACCCAAAGAACCAGCCGACAGCAAAGGCATGACTTCACCTCATTTTCTTCTTCTTCATGTCCAAGAGAACAAAACTATATTGTATATGGTGCAGGCCATTCACACAGCTAAGCCATGACGCCACTTCCTCTTATCCTCCAAATCAACAACAAAACAATTGTTATATAATTAACCAGCTCCATGGGACCTTCACGCTTCCCAGCTCCGATCTGTATTAAATGAAGAAATTTGAGCTTGTTTTCATACCAGGGCCTGGGATGGGCCATCTCGCATCCACAGTTGAGATGGCCAACATTCTTGTTAGTCGAGATGATCGACTCTCCGTAACGGTGCTCGCCATCAAGATTCCATACGATGCAAAAACGGCTGAATATATCCACTCACTTTCAATGTCTTTTGATGGTAAATCTATACGCTTTATTGTTCTCCCCGAACTGCCACTTCCAGAAGAAATTAGAAAGCGGCTTTTGCTGAAAGCAATTCTTGAAAACTACAAGCCCCATGTGAAAGAAGCTGTGACCAAGATCTCTCAAGCAGGTGCTGCCTCGCCCCGACTTACCGGATTTGTCATAGACATGTTCTGCACCACCATGATAGATGTGGCTAAAGAATTTGGGGTTCCTTGTTATTTGTTTTACACGTCCAGTGCTAGCTCTCTTGCTATCAGGTTTCATCTCCAAGAGCTTCACCAACAAAATAATAACATAGCGGAACAGTTAAAGAACTCAGATGTTGAGTTAGTTCTGCCAAGTTTTGTCAACCCAATTCCAAGTAAAGTCATCCCTGGTATCTTCTTTGATAAAGATGCTGCCGTTTGGTTTCATGATAATGCAAAGAGATTCAGATCGGAAGTCAAAGGTATTTTGATCAATACATTTGTGGACATGGAATCACATGTGATGAAGTGGATGTCAAGTGGCTCCTCCTCGCAAATCCCGCAGTTGTATTTCGTCGGACCAGTTTTGCACTCAAAAGATACTGGGGCAACTGGATCCAATGGGACTCTTGGCTTACTAAAATGGCTTGATGATCAGCCTCCAGCATCAGTGGTGTTCCTGTGCTTTGGGAGCAAGGGAAGCTTCGACGAGGATCAGGTGAAGGAGATCGCACAAGCGCTGGAGCGAAGTGGGGTTCGCTTCTTGTGGTCCCTTCGGCGGCCTCCACCAAAGGGTAAGTTGGAAGCTCCGAGCGACTATGGCGACAACATCAAAGATGTCTTTCCAGAGGGATTTCTTGAGCGAACAATGGGTATCGGAAAGGTCATTGGGTGGGCACCGCAAGTGGAGATCTTGGCACATCCAGCGACTGGAGGATTCATATCGCATTGTGGTTGGAACTCGACACTGGAAAGCGTGTGGCATGGCGTGCCAATGGCAACATGGCCGATGTACGCAGAGCAACAATTCAACGCCTTTGAAATGGTCGTGGAATTGGGCTTGGCAGTGGAGATCACGTTAGATTATCGAAAGGATTTCCATGCGGAAAGGTCAAGAGTGTTGAGTGCAGAAGAGATAGAAAGTGGGATAGAAAAGTTGATGGACCACAGCGACGAGATTAGGAAGAGGGTCAAAACAAAAAGCGAAGAAAGTCGGAAAAGTGTGATGGAGGGTGGATCTTCCTTCATCTCATTGAGCCAATTCATTGATGATGTTATAGCCAACACATCATAAGGAAAAGACTAAACAGCATAGCTTCATGCGTTCTAGCTGATCCACTTCTACAACAAAAGCCATTTCATCTCATTGTGTCATGGATTATTGAGATTGAAGTGGATTCTTCTAATGTATTCATAGAAAGTCAATGATAGACTTTGTGCAGTCTAATTCAAAGTTTTCCTTGGAAATTAAGCATAACAGCTTACTTAATTTGTGTAAAAGAGATGAATCAGTCTGATTGTGGAACATTTTAACAGGTGCAGAGTTTGCAGTTGTTCAAAAACGAAACAGAGTGAGGTGTCCATGTGGGTGCAATAATGAACAGACTTATTTTAGAATAATAAAATTCAAGGAAAATGACATAATTGCCTAGAGAAGAAATATGTGAAAACTTGCACCAAAAACATTAAATCAAATTACAAGTTGGTGTTGAACAAACCAAATTACAAGTTGGTGATGAACAAACCATACCATACACATACAGCACATCGAATCTAAAAAGTAGCATAAAATTGATCTTGCAGGGCAATTACCAAGTAATGCAGAGGAAAAATAGTAAAGCAAACTAAATATTGAGAGATCCAAATGAAGAGGAAAAGAAAGACAAGTAAAAATGCTATATGCCTTTATAGAATGAGGGCAGATAACAAGCCCATTAGATATATAGTTTTCGTGGTCTTAGTATCTAATTAAACTTCTTTTTGAACAATAAATATGAGGGAATGAGTTATATGCCTTGCCTTTATAGAATGAGCTTATAGCAGAAATAATCATAATATCATGCTTGTGGCTTTGATAGGGAACAATGGACAACTCAGGATCATTGGGATTGGGTTTTAGACAAATCTTCAGAGAAGGAGATTGAGAAGAGTACGATTTTAGCGTGGAAAATTTGGGAGATGAGAACAAAACAATATTCAAAGGAGACAATCCAGACATTACAAGATTCAATGCAGATATCGAGAGGCATTTTTCGGCATTGCCAGATCAATCAGAAACATCCTAAAGAACCATGGAGAATACTGGAAGAGAAAATTCGTACCAGATGCGAAATCACGCAGATCAACCGTCTTCGCGCTGGAGATTGAACTCTGATGCTGCCTGGAATGAAGATAGAGGAGTTAGGATGGATCATTCGAAATGCTAGAGGAGAAATCACCAGAGCTAGAGCAGGGAAAATGTTACGAAGTTGCACACCAGTGGAAAAAAAGGTGATGGAGGAACCACTCACGGACGATTGCAGTTCTTCTGAAGTAGAATCCATTGTTTCAGAAATGGAAACTCACAGAGCTCATACCCGATGAAGAAGAAGGAGAAGGTAGAGCCGCGCCGCTCGTCGGCCACCTCTCCTCCGCCCTCAATCTCGCCGGTCTCCTCCTAAATCCACACTCCCGTTTTCCATTTTTGTAAGGCAGAAATTTCAAATTCGGTTTCTTGTCTGCAAATTCATTGAGTCAAATAAATTTAATTGACATATTTGTTTCGAAAAATTATTATTGGAATCCGAAAATTAACCAATTTTTTAGGTTTGTAGTGTTTTTTTAAAATGTATAATTTATTTTTAAAAATAAATAAGGTGATAAATATATTATTTCATATTATAAATTTATTTTATTTTTGTTAAAATCAAAATAATGTAAAATATAATATATTATAAATTATATAATATTGTGAAATTATAATTATACAAAATTTATAGTATATACGTTAATAAATAAATTAATAATTTTTTAGGTTGGAGTAGATATTTAGTTGGTAGTTATTTTACAAACATATTACTAACAATTTTAAATTGAGATTTAATTTCCAAAAATCTGCCACCAATCACATATTCAAAAACATGAAATATAACTATGATTTTCATTGAATTTCTTGTTTTCAAATATTTATTTTCAGATCACCAATCAAACGTACTAGTTTAATATTATTCTATATATGTTTTTTCTTTTTGTTTTTATCTTAATTTTTTTATCATAATTTTAGCATAACATATTTAACTTTCTTTTACCATAACAATATGTGGGGTAGAAATCCGAACTGACTGTCGTAGATAGGTGTCTTAGATCGATCATAAGTGATGACATATTAATTACGCAATGAGTGAATTAAGTATGTAATACCAAATGTGATAATAAAAGAAAATTATGTAATATCAAAATTATGATAGAAAGAATTAGGATCAAAATAAAAATAAAGAGAGGAAAATACTTATTTTGAAAAAGCATAATTATATTTGAATGTGTTGGATTAAAAGAGTGAAAGCCATGTTAACTAAAAACAACAATAAATCTTCTAAAATTTTTTGATGTATTTATATAATAATGTGTTAATTGAAAAAGAAAAAATTAACTGTGTGTTTACAAGAGTAATATTTTTATTATCGCTTATTTTTATAAATTTTAACAAAAAAAAATATTTTATTTCAGTTTTAATTATTTAATGTTTTAATTAATTAATTAATTTTATTTTTGTAACGAATCAAAATCGATTTTTCCTTTTGATATAGAAAGATCCTAAACTTTGACAAAATTTTTGAATGTGTTATTCGATTCCAGCAAGTACATGAGTTCGAAGTTGTGTTAACTTTAGGAAGCAACAGACGAGCATATGATATAGCACCATAATCGTATCGAAGACGCAACGATCATTTTTCATCTAATTATCCTTTAATTTCTAAAAGAAATGTGGGGTGTGTTAATTAAATTAAAATTGAAATTTGGAAAGGAGGGTGATACTGCATAGTGAACGGCGACCATCATGCCTCCCAAATATATCCATGCAGATGGCACCCACTAATCTCTCTGGTAACCTTAAATCTGCCTTCTGTTCATCGTAACATTATATTGTCAAATTCAACTATATATATATAGCCACACACATATCCATGTCGTAATTTCACCCCTATTTATATACCATGGTTCTAAATATTCATCGATATTTCCATCGACATATTCATGTTTCCATAAATTTGACATTGATATGAAAGGTGAATCGACATTTCTCCTTATAGTAAAAAAATCGATAAAATATAAAAAAATATAAACAAAATGTCACTAAAATATATATATATATATATATATATATATATATAATATTAATACTAATTATTTTTAACTAATTTAGAAATAAGAAAATGTTTATTTGTTAATTTAAATATTTTTTACGATTGTTTAATTTTTCTAATTTTTAAGAATATCCATCGACATCAATATTTTATCGGTATTTCCATAAAATTGAGACCTCGGCATTTCCATCTACATCGATATTTAAAACCTTGGTATATATCCTATACATCATTGATATTTATTTATGTTTTTACTCCAACGTTGGAGGAGATTTCAGCTTGAATTTTTGGTCGAGAATATATGCATCGGGGTCAAGCAACGATGATAATTGAAACTTAGCTAGACCCAATGTTTCTTGCTTATTATTTTAATGGATCCTAAGTTAAGTTAATAGTTAGTTTACCCAATAATATACCTTATTCTACATGTCAATTACCGTTGAGCTATGCTCGCTTTGGCATGTCACTTTTGAAACTTAAGGACCAAATAGAAGTAAAATTTAAATCTTAGATAGCAAAAGTAATGGTCTTTTAAACTTAAAAGACGAAATAAAAATCAAGCCCAAACATCAAAGATAAATGTATTTTACCCTAAAACTTTTAAAACCATAAAAATAAAATTAAAACTAATTTTAAAAATTAAAAGTATATCAACCAAACTTAAACAAACAAAAAAGAGTAAAAATTATAAACATTATAATAAAGAATAACAAAAAAGAGTAAAAATTATAAACATTATAATAAAGATTTGAACATTCGATTTATAAGATAGATTATTAATGTTTTAGTCGTTAAACTATCTAATATTTAAATCTCTCTTAAAGATAAGTTACCACCGGTTTTAAGGAAGCCATATTGGAAAATGAAACGTCTTTTTTTTACAAAAGATAATAATTGACATACAATTTCTTTTATTAATCCAATTGAAAGTAATTTGAAATTTGAACTAGAATGAAATTGGCCAAATATAAATCTTGAGAGAGATAATAATTAATATGTTGGCGCTAAATAGAAAAATAAAAAATTGAGACCTAGCAACTTATGACTTTACAAGATCTTAATGAATTAATATATAGAGCATCAAAATGATTAGTTGAGATGGATAATATAATACAGATTTATATCATTAATTTTTTTAGATCCTTTTACTTTATAATAACAATTAAATATATCACATTACAAAACAATAAAAATCCTTGAAAATAATGTCAACATTATTTTATTCATTTTCAAATATGTCTCATCCAATAAAACTAATATACATTCATCTCACTATCTGTCATTTAGAACTTTATTATTTTAGAATTTTAATAAATATTCTAGGTGATTAAATCATTAATAGTTTAATTTCAAATTGGTCAATATAATTTTAATTTCGCGTTAAACCCACAGCTAATCTTAAAATTAATTTTCACCCATTCTTCAAAAATTCACATTCTTTTTCTAATTTTTACTCAACTTTAATATTTTAAATATCTTTCTAAAGAATACTGCATCAGAATTCCAAATATAATCCATTTGAATAAGTATGGATGCTTTAAACAAATTAAGAAATAAAAAAATGAAAAAAAAAAAAAGAAAAAGTCTCTAATCCAAACTTGGAAAAAGAAAAGGGGAGAAAGGCGGGAATTCCAAGTAACATGGAGGGTAAAATTGGAAAAATTAGAAAGATTACAGAATGTGTCGACATTTGAAGTTGACTTCAACGAATTCCGTTACGACACTTACTCCGAATTTCGCTTCTGCAGTGTTTTCATGTCGACATGGTTTCGCCATTAGAGAACTTTTTCCAAATAAAGATTTTATTTATTTATTCATTTCAATTCTAATTCTAATTAATTATATAAATATTTTTTTAATTATCAGCGGCTGCTGCTCAGTACGGGAAATCTGCACGTCGAATTCGATACTGTTTCGCCGAAAAAACTCTTTAAAATCCCTACTGATAGAATGTCCTTTCTCCCCATCATCTTCTTCTTTCCCGATCTCTGAAAATTCTCAAATCTGAAATTGATCGGATTCGCCATGGCAATGGCGAACGCTAAGCTTCATCCTCTGCTTCTCGCTTTCCTCTGCCTCTTTCTTCTGCTCCTCCCTGTGGCGATTTCGGCAGAGTGTCAGTGCCCTGAAGAAGAAGGAGAAGAAGAAATAGGGCACCACGATAAATCCGCAGCTCTGAAATACAAAATCGTTGCCATAGCTACGATTCTTCTCGCCGGAGTCATCGGAGTATTTATACCTATGCTCGGGAAGGCGTTTCCGGCTTTAAGTCCGGAGAAGGAGATTTTCTTTGTGATTAAAGCCTTTGCCGCCGGCGTTATTCTGTCGACCGGATTCATCCATGTTCTTCCCGATGCTTACGAGAGCCTGACGTCGCCGAAACTGAAAGACGGTCCGTGGGGGAATTTTCCGTTCACTGGCTTGGTGGCTATGGTGGCGGCGATCGGGACTCTAATGGTGGACGCTGGCGCCAGTTCTTATTACACGCGGCTCCATCTGAGGAAGGCTCAGCCTACGGTGAGCGGCGATGAAGAAATGCACGGCGATGCTCACGAGGGCCACGTTCATGTTCACACTCACGGCACTCACGGTCACGCTCATGGCTCCGTCGAAGTCGCCGGAACGACAACGGAGATTCTCAGGCACCGAGTAATCTCTCAGGTAACGTTTGAATCTGTTCAATTATGTTTCTGTTTCTGTTCATCATAATTTTCCTGGAAAGTGTAGTTGATTCCGAAAGCGGAACAGAGATTTACACAGTTGTTTCTTAATGGCTGAAGATTTTAATCAAATCAAAACCCAATCAGATGAAAAATTAGAAATAAAATTAACGATGATGATGAACTGAAACGAGTGATGGGGATTTTTTATGCGGAATTTTGATTTTGATGGTAGGTATTGGAACTCGGGATAGTGGTACATTCTGTAATTATAGGGATTGGTTTGGGCGTTACTCAAAGCCCGAAAACGATTAGACCTCTTGTGGCGGCCATCACCTTTCATCAGTTATTTGAAGGAATGGGCCTTGGAGGATGCATTGCTCAGGTAATTTTTTTTAACCTTTAATTACTAAAATCAATTACATATTAACATTCTTTTTTTTTTGTGTACACTTGCTAAAGTTTGTGAATTTGTAAATAACGTGTTTATGTTAGAAAGCTTTATCGTTACTTTTTATTGAGGTAAATTCAAAGCAAATAAAATTATTAGTGTATGAATATGATTGGCTGAAAATATGAATGAAAGGAAAAACCAAAAATAGTTCAAAATTAAGTATAATTGATTTTGAAAATCACCGTTGAAGTGATTTTGACTTTCACCATAGAAAATCATTCCGAAACACGTCCATAGAAAATCATTCCAAAACACGTCCTAATACGAATATTGAACCATACTTCTCTGGTAGTCAATAAACTTTTTAGGGGTATTCTTTTTGTTTAATAAGGAAAAATCTTTATTCTCTCCTTCCTTCTTTTCTTGGGCGTCACTAAATTTTTTATAGCTTTTTTTTAACTTAAAAATAAAAAGTCTTTATTCTCTTTTTATGCCCCTATAATCGGTAGTATTATGTAATTAATATATTAGAATTTGTAGTAACAAAATTATTATTATTATTATTGGTATCAATTAAATCAATTAATTTTTTAGAAACCCATGTGGATTGTCATGGTGGTGGGTCAAAGTGGTGTAATATCTAACTCAATTTATGGACCTATTGTCAGTAGGCTTGTGTACATTGGTTGACTTTGATTCCCACAAAAATTGACCTATGAATTTTCAAGTATTTCTGCCCAAATCTCACCCAATAAGCATATATATCTTTTAAACAAATCATTAAGCAATAAAACATACTATATTTGGATCCTAAATTGAACCTTATTAAATTCAGTTCACTTTAGTGCTTCATCCTCTTTTTGCCCCTCGTATCTCTCAAATTTTGTTATTTTATATGCTTCAGATGAAGCTTTTAAATAAATAAATATATCTTTTTGACATATTACTCTGTTTTTGTTGGTTAAATTTTGAGTTATTTTCAAATTTAATGGAAAATCATTAAAAAGTTTCACACAAAATTGTCTGAACTCTGAAATTTAGAAAGTTTACTTATTAGGATGGATACTTAAAAAGACTTTTGAGGCTCTTTTGTTTTTAATTTTTTTAAGAAATTTAAGCATTTTGCAACTAACTACGTCTTATTTCTATTTCCATGTTGTGGTTAGCAATGAGAAAACATGAACAAGAAACAAGAACATTACCCAACAGAGTCCTGAATTACCTTCTTTTTAAATCGTTCTCATTTCTAGACTTTTGAAATTACTGATAAAAAAACCATTCCTCATACCTTTTCGTGCAGGCGAAGTTCAAGCACAAGGCAGTAATAATAATGGCGCTTTTCTTCTGCCTCACGACACCAGTCGGGATAGCAATAGGCATAGGAGTAACGAACAGTTATAACGAAGACAGCCCAAAAGCTCTAGTAGTTGAGGGAATTTTGAATGCAGCATCATCTGGAATCTTAATCTATATGTCTTTGGTGGATCTTCTGGCGGCTGATTTCATGAATCCCAGAATGCAGAGCAATGCAAAGCTTCAAATTTTGGCTAATATTTCCCTTATTCTTGGAGCTGCATTGATGTCTTTACTTGCCATATGGGCTTGAAATTCACACCATAAAGCCACAACCCTGAACAACCAGTTTTGCTTTTTTTTTCTTCTTCTTCTTCTTTTCTGCACTTCGAAGTTTTAATTGTGTATATTGGGTTTTTGGTATAGTGAAGAAGGGTACCAGAGATGCTAGATTGATTATATACCTTTTTTCT